GATGTTTCTCTCCCTCTCCCTTCCTCTCTCTCTCAAAATCAATAAAAAATGCTTTTTAAAAAACCCACAAAACTCCTCTCAAATACACTCTTTCATCTGCATTTTCAACAAGGAGAGAGTAAGCCCAGGACAGGCAACATGACGAGAATGTAGCAGTGCTTGTTTGGATCGTGTGGAAAAGAAAAAAGTCAGTCTTCATACAGCTACACAGCTACAAATACGAACACGGGATTTTTAAGACCTCCCTTTCAAACCAGCGTGGATTCTTCAGTTAAAGTTCCAGAAGCATGAGAGATGGGCAGTAATTGTTTTCAGAACTGAATCATTAAGATCTAACAATCACTCACTGAGAGAGGTCATTGAGAGGACATGACAGCTGGTTGGCCCATGAGCTGAACAGTGAGTGAGTTCCCCATCCCTGGAGGTATTCAAGAAGACATATTTATTGAGACCTTCATGGAAGATACTCGTGTACTGGGTTGAACTTGATGACCTCTTCTGGAATTCTTCTGGGATCCTTGGTGTTTTAGGCTTATCAGCAAGTTCACACCAGGTAACCCTGGAAAGCCTGGATGTATGGTCCTTATAGGTGAGGGTCGCCATGGCGACTGTCTCATTGGGAAATGAGATTATAAAAATTGTTGCTAAGTGGTATTCTCCAAGGTGGCTTTTTCCTTGAAAATAGTCTGGTCAACATGGAGTCATCCTCCTGGACAATGCTGTTTGGGGATTTAAAAGACCCTGCAGCAGAGGCACGGCTGGGGAGGTGATTTTCTTGACATGCCCATAAGCTCGACAGGAAACATGAGAGATTTCACAGAGTGGCGCTTGGAAAGCATTGGGGACGCTGCACTGACATGACTGGCTGCATCCCGAAGTGATTTTTCAAAGATGAGCCTCACACTGAGTCACGGAGCTGGTTTGTTCAGGGAAGCCTGTTTACTCTCTGATGAGAGCGTTTCCGAGCCTGCTGGGCCCTCCGCTCTTCACTAAGAACACAGCACGGACCAGAGGAGCTGCGGGCTGGGCACCTGGTGCTGGGCTGGATGGCTTTTCAACCTGCCTCTACTGCCTGCTCTGCCCACGCATTTATCCGCTGGGAGCAGCATGGCGCCCAAGGGCTGTATTTGGTGAGTGCTCACAGCTGGGCAGCTGCTGGAGCCACCACCTCCACACCCGAGGACTTGGCTGTCTGCCTTGTGGGATGTGTGACACCAATCGGGCTATCAGTCCCTTCATAGGGAGCAAAGCGTTTCTGTCCTTGCGAGGGACGGGTCCTTAATTATAAATTCGAGAGAGAGGGAGAGAGAAAGAGACCCCCCCACCCCAGACTACCCTGTCCCATCGCAGGGCCACCTGGCTCCCGCCGAGTGGTGCTGGGGAAACTTCCTAGAAACAGAATT